CCATACCATTTTATTCATAATACCTAATTGTCGCTTTTGTGTCTCAAGTGTCCATGTTCGTTTTTGTGGGTCATTCCATGTCAAATGACCCAAAAAAAAGTAAAAAGTAAACTGTACCCCCTTTGATTTTGCTGAAATTTGGTTTATATGCTTATTTGGGCAGGAAACGCTGATATTCAAAATTTTAGCTTCATCGGACAAATGGTTCCTGAGATATGGCCCACCAAATTTGGGGGATTTTGGCCAAAATAGGCGTGACCACCATTATTTAAATGACCATAGCTCAGTAACCAATAGGTCAAAATTGCTGAAATAAATATTTCTAGAAAGGGAATAGGACAGGGATTCCAAATCTGTCCTTTTTTGACATAGGAGTGTTTTAAAGAGTGATGACCTTTGACCTCGAGTTTGACCTTGTGGCCCTCGTGACCTTGAGATGACTCATCATGAAAAACTGTTCGTCATCAATGACCCATTTTGCACACTGCAATCTTATTTTTGCTGATGCAGTAGCTTCTTGATGAGGTTGAAGTAAGTGATGGTGCTTCAAGAACGTTAGTCTTTTTTCACTTTTATCCTTTGAAGATGGCCATTGTAACTGCTTAGCAGGTGCTTGTGGATGCATGATATCTATCCTACTGTCCCTCAATTCTTTTGAAATTTCGTCTACCATACAGATCCCTTGATGATCATTGTAATTAAAAAACACACAAAGGACTGAAGCTTTATTTGAAGTGGCACGGATGTCATTGATGTATGATCAGACTGATTCAAAGAGGATGACTATTTGAATCACAGTTAGCTATCTTTACGTAAGTCTTCAGCAGGTTACTTTGTATCCCCAGAACCTATCCATGAACATAATTCTACTTTAAGAGCAAAGACACTAATTTTTAGCCTCACTTTTGCATCACTTCCAGGTTTCTAATTTCGGTGGAATTGAGTCATGTCAAAAATAACCTATACATTATATTAATATCATTAATACAAAACTATTAACCTAAAAAAAATACATACTGGAAGTGACCTACTGGCCCCCATTTTGGTTTGCCTTTATGGCCTTGACCTTTGATGACCTTCATAATTGCCATGATAAAAGGTGACTTTGACCTTTGGGGTAAAACCACAACTTCCGATTTTATTAGGGTCTAAATATGGTCAATTATGCATTTTTGCAGTGCTGTATCTCAAATCCTAATTAATATAGCACCCTACCACTTTCAGATTAATAATGTACTTAATAAATGGTTTCAATTAATATAGCTTTTGATGAGTGCCAAAGTGTCAATTTTGCAATTTTCTTGAAACTTAGAATGCTTCTATCAAAGGAATTTGTCCTCTGATAAATTTGATATTTACAGTAATAATTACTATTGACTTCCGCTTTTACATGATGTTTATATTTTTTATGACTGGCAGGTGGTTCTGGTTTTAGGGGTATCACTGAAAGTTGACATTGGATCGTTCAAGTATTCTAACAGAGATAGAGCAATAATTCTTTCGAATTCATAATGCTGAGATTCTGAGCTTTTTCACATGCATATTTGGAAACTCCAATTGGATTAAAGTCAGTTAATTAGGTGTCAGTATAGACACCTTCTCTCCTATTTCTATCAGAAATGCACTATGTTTGTGTCTATAACATGTTCTGGATGGATTAAAAGGTGTCATGCTGTAAGTTAAACTTACTGAAATACCCTGGAACAACATTCACGACTTTTGTTTCCTCAGATATTCTACAAAATTCTTAAAATTGGTTTATTTCGATTTTCTTTATGAATACTTCACTTTGACCCATATTTCATGAGCAACCAACTCGGCAACGGCGGCAGAATGCATCACCTATTTTCGTGTACAATGTTTGATCTATAAATAAGTCTAGAAAAACATGTTGTATGGATACCGGGTGGTATAATTAACTTCTCTTAGTATTTATCTTTAATATCAATTCATTATAACTAGTGACAATTTCTTCAAAGAACCACGATTTTAAAAAAAAATTAGTGACTGACAAAATAAGATATGTAGCGTGATTAATTGCTAAAAGTCACTGAAACGACATAAGAATATGGTCCACTTTGTGTTCCATAGAAATTTTCTGCTGACACGGAATCCACTAATTGATCACGTGACTTCATTCGTTGGACTACATTCTAACAGACGACACTTGGAATTCCGATTACTGCTTGGGATTATAAGGAAATCCAGCCGATAAAAAATGGTGACTTTGGTAATAAGTGAAATACGTCATTTTGTATTTGTCAAAGTATACATTAATACATTTTACCTTGCTTGAAACTACTGGATTCATTTTACTAGCTGATATTGTAGAGATAACACATGTTTATCAAAACAAGCAAGCAGAGGTCACGCGAGGTCGCACATGTAAATTATTAATTATTTCCGGAAATCCACGAAAAATAGGTTAGCACGAAATTAGGTTACTTAACTGTATGTGTATAATCCAACTCTAAATTTGAAGGAAATATTTAATTCTTGTTCTGTGCATGCGCATTATAAACTTTCTTGTATCTTACCCAAATTTCATCAAACTTCAGATGTATGTGTATAATCAAATCTACATTTGAAAGAAATATTTAATTTTTGTTGCGCGCATTCCTATAGTTCACATTACCAATTTTCTCATTTCTTATCCAAATTTCACCAAACTCTAATATGTATAGTCTATTGAATTGCATGAATATATTAGAATATTATATAAATTATTTTGACATATATCTAGTAGTGATGATTCTAAAAAGAAAAAACAGGCAGCAATAACCAATCACAGAAGACTTTTTGATGGGATCACCAATACCACTAGCACAGTGATTCATTTGATGTATACTGAACTTGGTGTAATAAATAATAAAACTTGACATCAAATACCATCCTTTAATACCCAACGTTTCGTCAAAAAAGTTTTGACTTCATCAGGGGAAGAAACAAACTACAAATGGTGGAAGGCAGTAAAGATTAAAATTACAATATGACCTCATAAGGTTTATGACGTCACAATCTTAGAAACCACATAACAAGAGAAGGGTCAAATCACAAAATGGTGGGAGGCAATTTGATTCGTGAAAACCAGACCTCAGAAGATTTAAGACATCAAAATCTTAGATACAACATAACAAGTATGTAATGATAACTTCAGGATTTGCCAAAAAATCTAAAGAGAAAGGGAAAAAAAGGGGGGGGGGGGGGGAATACACTAATATTTAGCAATTTTGAAACCTCCTGGTTTGAGTTCATTCAATCCATACGGCCATACAGAGTCAAGTCTATGAATCCACAGAGTTTCTGCACTGTCTAATTTGCTTTTGCTTTCATTGGAATTTCCTCAAGAAGTGTGCATTTATAATCATGACCAGGTTGGTTAAAATGGGGGGCAATATGAGGAGCTTTAGGAACCTTTTTCAATGTAATATTGCTCCTATGTTTGTTATGTCTAATATTGAAGGAGGTTATTGTCTGGCCAACATACTGAAATTTACATAATTCACATTTCATGTGGGCATATAACAAATTGCTTTATAGTTTTACTGTAGTTTGTAAACTTTCAGTCCTTGTCTTTTATACTGTCTTAATGAATAGGCTTACATGCAGAGCCAAGTCTGAATGAGATAACAATTCATTCAATCATGAATTTGAAAATTATTTTCCTTTTCATTATGCGAAAGTCAAAAAATTAGGATGTGACTGGAGCTTTTCAGAAATATAATCTAACATTGTCAGCATCTTCTATTGCTATCAGAACAAAGAAAAGTAAATTTTAAAATACGATTTTGTGGGCTTGGAATATCCATGTTTTCATACATGATGTATGAATACCGGCTTAGAAAAAGTTTTAAAGAAACTGAATTACTTTTGCAGTGCTTAAGGGGTATAAATTGCTACAGTATTTAAAGCTGAATAAAGAAATTTCGAAAACAAACTAAGACTCCCACAATGTCAGTTGACAAGAAAAAAGCAGATGTCTAAATGTCAAAAAAGATATAATTGGCCTCCTAAATCAAAAGGTTAAATATTTATTTTAACAACAGTAATTGTACATTACATTTTATATAACATTAAATTCTTTTTTATATTATGTGACAAGCTTATGTTAGAACTGAAGCTCTCAAAAGTAAACAGAAAGCCTCACATTTTACTCATGTGTTTAAAGACCAGAACTAAAATGACAACTTTGCTCAAGGCAAACTAAAGCCCATCAGCCCAAGATCCTATCAATGTGTCATTTCGGGGTTACATTAGGTTGCATTGTTCTCTATAGTTAAAAGCGTTTAACGTGTACTTCACATGATCAAGCATTTGTTGAGGGCAGATTTTGACGTTATGACGCCAAATGGTTAATTTACATTAAGCTGAAAATGGAAATGTAAAAGGGTGTTCATTCAATGCACGAGAATTTCACCATGACAAAAACCGAATTGGCATAACTTTTACCTAAATTGCTTTCCAATAGTACGAGTGACAGTCATACTTTAGACGCCAATAGTGTAATTAGCACTCCAACAGTTACTTTAGGGCGCCAATAGTGAAATTAGGGCTCCAATAGTCAAATTAGAACTCAAATAGTGAAACACAAACAAACAACACTTTGAATTTTATTCTAAATTCATAGAGTAACCGTGATTTTCGCACCATTGCGCTTCATTGTCAGTTTAACGCGTTCAGTTTTATCCATTTGCAGTTTTTCATCATCATCGTCTGTTGGTGTGGATTTTCTAATCTTTTTTCCCTGAACAACATCATCTACTACTTTCAATAGCTCTGTACTGGTTCTCTTGTACCTGAAATTGCATTCACAACTAATAATAATAATAATAATCGCTTTTACACCAGGCGTAATTCGGCGTGTTTTTCAATTTAGCACTTGACACAGATTGTGCGAATTCTTATATCAGCAAGTGCAATTATAGGAACTAGTACACATCCCCAGGCATTGGTTTTTAAGGATTGGTGGCGTTACCAATCGGGTCACTGGAGAATCAAAATCATTTTTCGAATTCACGAATTTCACGAATCAGGATGATGGAATGGATACCCCTCGCCCCCGCGTAACCAAAAGAATATTTACCCAGTCGATTTGTGTGGCCCTTTCTTTTGGCTATTAACTGTTCGTCTATACCAGAATCATACATTCTAGTGGCAGTGGTTGCTCGTAGTGAATGGTTCGTATGGAAGCCATCAACACCAGCGTTGGCACACAATCTCTTCACAACCCCAGAGAGGGTATGGCGTCCTACTGGCACAGCACAGTACCAAGTATCTCGTTTAGGATACTTCAATGGTCGAACGTAATAGGCGTTGCAGGTTTTTGGTCTAAAAAGACAATTAAATCATAAACATAAATGGTTCACATATTACACAATGGATGTTTGACTGGAATGTAGATCATCCCCCGGACTACAAACAAACAAACTTACCTTTTGATGCACAGCTGACGGGGCTTTTATACTCGAAGCCGAAATGTACGCATATTCGGTGCAACATCTCGTTATTTATTTAGACATTTTTATGTTTTCGAATTTACACTTTAAACTAAGAAATTTATTATAATTATAACTCACCTTAGAGACATATACTTTTCGTATAACCGAACAAGACATCTGGCTGGGTTTTCTTGGTTTGGTCCAATTTCGACAGTTTTCGGTGTCAGATCTCTGTGTGAAAATCCACCATTATTCGTCTTCACTATATTTTAAATGTTTTACACCATTCCGTAGTATGATGGTGATATTTGATTTATCGCCGATTTTTAACGAGTGGTGTTCTTCGCCGCCTCGTAAACAAACATTGATCCCATTCAGATAAAACACAGTGTCTCTAACTTTTGGGGCGTGTCTTCACCCAAAAGGCCCTGTTCCCAGAGCATGTCCTCCTGATCTCTCGTCATTATATCCGCCTTTTTCTTATGTACACCTATTCCGCTTTGTGCAAAGGATCGCATTTTGGCATCTAATATCTTTCGGAGTGATAAAAAGTTGAAATCTGTATTAAAATTAATATTGCGTGAATTGTATTCTCTTGATAATCGCCACCTCTTTGATTTTTCACTTCCGTCACGAACAATAATACTTGATCACACAGGTCATTGTCATTCAGTTCCAAAAGTTTATCACCAATATTATTTCAAATTACGTGTCGGTCTCCGTACCAGGAATCAAAAATCCGCACTACCCACTGACACTTTTTTTCTGTATTTTTGTTGATGGCAACTCTTTTCAAGGAGGTCATTTCAATTTTGGACAAACGGTTTCCCAAATCTACCTGTTGTCGAACATTTAATTGTTGACTGGGGGATACTCTGCTCTCTTTAGTTGATTGAACATTGCCTGCTTCAAATTGTTGAGTGGTCTGAAGTAGTTCTTCATCAGACGAATTTATGTGGTCTACGTCAAGTGAATGCTCCAAATTAAAGTTACCCACAGGGGCTACCATGTCGTCTTGAAAGTCTTCAAACCTTGGGCTTACTTCGCCGGAGTCTAAAGTATTTTAAGCATCTTCAGAAAAAGTAGTGGGTGAGGAAAAGGTCGTCTGAATCCGACATAATTTGTTGTTGTCAATAGTAAGATACGTGAACGATCCACATGCAGCTTTATAGGGCGCCAATAGTCGAATTTAGGTTTAAGTAGGATAAACTCCTTTAACATGCTAATAGTTTTGACCTATATGAAGTCGTCAGTCTAATCGGCCTCCGACATCATATAGGTTGAAACTATTGGCGCGTTTTCAAAGTTTATCCTTTACATATCAAACAAAGCTGAAACATTAGGAAGTCCATCACCACCGGATATTCTGCAATATCCCTATGCCAGACATGGTACATCAAAGGATAGGCTTTTCCCCACTCTTTATGTAAAGCTCAACTGTATTGCTGTACATTGCGTCATAAAAACATGCAACTGCAGTGAGCTTAACAAGGTCAAGTTTCGTTTCTTGACGCCCTATATAAAGTCATAGGATGTTAAAACCATATGACTATTTGTCAGTAAATGACAAACTCCTGAAATGACACGTTCCATTCATTAAAATTCATTAAAATCGATTAAATATTCTAATGTGCCCACCAACAAAAGCCCATATATGAACCATGTGTAAATAGATTGAAATTGGATTGATTTTGGGAAATGATTTAAAATAACCCCTGCTTGCACAAACATAGAAAATATTGGAGAAAAAATAAATATATTACATTAAGCAATATTCATGGTATCATGGTCATTCTGAAGGTAAATAATGTACTTGGAGCTTTTTGTGTCATTATCATAACATTCATCAATTTTGTGATCATTCATAATTTAAGGTCATTCAAAGACATCATGTATTTTTTAATTCTTCTGACATTTGGAAAATTAAGATCCAATCAACCTTATTCAAGGACTTAATTTAATTATCCCAAACAAGGTTGAATAGCCAAAAATGTTAATGTGGGTGCATCAAAATAATCACAAATTTATGTTTGATTAAATATTGTAATTTCCTTCCAGATAAAATCAAATGAATAAATAATTCCTGTAAAAACTGATTATAATTGGTTGAAAAGAGAGGAAATAGTTGAAGATTAGACTTGGAGCATGCAACGAATTGCTTCATTAAATTTTCATCTGGAGGTGAAATGATTATCTGATTATTGGCTTACTGTAGTAATTATCAATTTTTATTCTCACCAAATAGTTTCACTGTCTCCTGTCGTGTTAAGTAGTGAAAGTTCGATGAAGGCCTGCTGTTACTCTAATGAATCACATAGGGGAATTTCTTTTGTCTTCTTAAAAAATATTTCGAGAAAAAAATCTGACTTAATAACTAACATTATCATAATGAGCTTCTTTTCTCTTTCTGCTGGTCACAAATTAAATAGTGTTCTTTTTAATCCATGTGTTGTCAAAGAACACATTACTCTTATCACAAATAACAAGTGTTCAAAAGGATATGTAATTAATTCAATACACCAAGTGACAATATAATATATGAATTTCACACCATCAGCTTTCATATATTGACATGTAACATTGGTGATGATTATGTTTCATTGTAATTTCATGTTAAATTCACATTAAAAGAAAGTTTAAAGGCAAAGCAGGGGTTCAAATGAGCACTTTCCCATTAATCATTGTTCGAAAATTCTATTGGACAACCTAAATCCACAAAGACATTGCCCAGCCTGCAGCCAACCTCTCTTATCAATTTTCTTTTATATTCAAAATTTTACTTTTACCACTTAACAATAGTATGAAGTATATCATTATATACTTTATACATAGTACAAGTGTAATACTAATCTTACAAATCAGGAGTTTCACGCCCATCTAATCTAATGTTATGTGTAATGCTTTAATAAAATCATTTAGTAACTTTTCTTTAGCCTGTAAATATTCGGTTATTGCCTTCTCGATGGGTCTACTTTGTAATATATTTCATATCTTTATATATTTAAAAAATTAAGACTTCCAGAAAATTCATGTTGATGAGACACAGTTCTTTTTTCGAATCTACATGTAATATGAGATATGATAGCAATTTGAAAATCAAAAATTTGTCGCAGACAAAAAAAGAGTTTCTGTTATAAGTCCAATTTTTTGTAAATTTTAGATGCAAAGACCGATCACTTAAGTACACAATATGATACAGTCAAACTTTTGAAATCACTTCCGGTTCAACTAGTTCATATAGAGCAACAACAATTGATCGGAAGTCAACTTTATTACAAAAGATAGTCGACCACAGCCATATACGCCCACTATGGCATGCGGATGGTAAATATTTAGGATTTACGGGCAAGGGCAATAACTCTGCTTCTAACAGTCGAAAATAGCTCAAATGCGAACTTGATCTTCGTTTTATGAATATGTATACACATACCGAATTTCATTTGATTCCATCAAAAAAAGAGCGTTAACAAGCAAATGTTGACACACGGCCAGACCTTTGTTTCATGAGTATGTATGCACATACCGAATTTTATTTGATTCCTTCAAACAATTGATGTTGATAGAAGCACTTACTGTATAGAGGTTCAAGGGCGATAACTCCTCAAAACTAACGTATTAGGCCTAAATCTTGAAAAAGCCTTAAATTTAATCAGAAGTAAACTAAACTTTCTCAAACCTTTCGATTTAGGTCCAATAACATCCATTTTAAGTTTCATCAAAATCGGTTGAAAACTAAGAGAGTAATAGCATATTCAAGATTTTGGGCCAAGGGCAATAACTCTGCTTCTATCGGTAGAAAATAGCTCAAATTCGAACTTGATCTTCGTTTTATGAATATGTATACACACACCAAATTTCATTTGATTCCATCAAAAAAATCTAGTTTTTAGAGCGTTTACAAGCAAATGTTGACGGACGGACAGGGGTGCCGACAAAATACGTCCACATAGAGAGATGTTGGCGTACAAAAATGAAGAAAAAAGAATCCTGATAGGAAGTGAAATTTTGGCCGCCATATTGATTTGACACACTTTTGTAAAACGAAAAATGGGGCCTCTATGGAGAAGTGGCCGTATATAATTTTGATGTGCATGTCAACTGCAATCGATTGCCAACGTAAATTAGGAAGCCTATTTTTGAATTTCGCTTTTGCTTTTTTGCAATTTCCAGTTGAATTTTTTCGAAGTTTGAAGGCTCATGACCTTGACATTTGATGACCTTGACCTTCATTGGGTCAAAGGTCATTGACCTTGGCTTTCAGTTGATACTTTCATATTTGACCTCTGACATCTACTTCAGGTGTATGGCTGTCCAAAAATTTCAAATTCGCAACTTTGCACTGCTCTAGCAAGTGACCTAATTAACCTAAAGGGTTAATTTTTTCGGATTAATTGTTTTTAAAGCAAAATTGAAATTGGTGATTTTTGAAATTTGAGTCTTTTTTACGAAATATTTGCCTATTTCAGCTTAGTGTATGTATATCCTATGACCTATTTGGTGTAGAAGCTTGAAATTTGGAACACAGTTAGATTTTTTTAATATTAATTGACCTATGTCAAAAAGTTGAGGTGGGCGTGGCTTATCTGGGTTAAATTACTCGTTGTTTACATTTTGAAGCAGGGGCATAACTCACATAGAATATATTTGTTCAAAAGGGAACTTTCCACTCAACTACCACATCCATTTGGCCATTGGAACAGGGTTTAGAATTTTCATATTTTCGATTTTTGACCTTGACCTAGGATCAAAGGTCATTGACTTTGGCTTTAGATTGATACCTTCATATTTGATGTCCTCCGTCAATTTCTGGTTATATACCGTTCGTATGACTGATATCTCGTGACAGAGGCCTTTATTGACCTTCACAAGGTCAAAGGTCATTGACTTTGGCAATCTGCCGATTCTTTCAGATTTCATGTCCGAGATCTTCTTCTCACAACCTTCCAAATTGAGAATTTTTTGACTGCTTTAGCACATGACCTATTTAATGTAGAAGAATGATTTTTTCAGATTTCCTAGCAAATTGGCACATTAGCAAAGTCCCACCAAGTACCATGAGTGGTTCCAGTGTGTTATTGATTTGTCAATTTTTTTTTTTTTTTTCGATTTTCCAAAGGGCACACAGCCTAGGCTTCGTCAACTGCATCAACATTTCTACATTTGTGGAGCTTCTGTCGTTGTTAATGAATATAAATTGGAACATTTTTGCAAAACTAGAAGTGCCACAGGTCAACATGTGCAAAAAGTCGAAAATCGGCTCTAGAAGGTGCATTTTTGCAATCTACCTGTAATTTCTGACCTGATAGCACTTAAAAAAATTACAAAATTTGAAAATTCATAGCGCACTTTTTTCCATCAAATTTTCAATTTTTTGCAACTTTTTTGTTTTTGCCTAGATTGATCTGAAATTTTAAATGCAAAGAAACTTTACTATTGTTAATAGCATGGTACATTGAATTTTTTTACATCTGTTACGTTTTTAAACAGGAAAGCGTCTGAATTTCAAATCAACTTCCGGTGTAATTTATGTAGGTAAAAAAAATTTAGCTGATCTTTAGCAAATAGGATTCTACAGCCGATTTTAGAATAAAATCCAGACCGGAAGTGATACTTCGGCCGCCATATTGAAAAAAAAAACTTTCGTAAACTCAAAATGGGGCCTCAGGGTAAATGTTGATATGCTCAAATTTGATCGATTGCGCAAAAAACATTAAAATCCAGATTTTGAATTTCGCTTTTGCTTTTTTGCAACTTCCATTTGATTTTTTTCAAACTTTAAACGCTCATACCACGTGACCTTAACCTTTGATGACCTTGACCTTTATAGAGTCAAAGGTCATTGACCTTGGCTATCAGTTAATACTTTGACATTTGACCTCCGACATGTACTGCGGGTATTATAGCTGTCCGAAAACAGCCAAATTCACAACTCTTCTAGCACATGACCTAATTCGTGAATCGCCAACCAGAACGTAAGCCTCACCTATTAAGTTACGCTTGATGACGAGT